GAGGAGAAAGAGAGATGAGGGAAGAAGGCAGAATTCACGTTAAAATATTTAGTTACATTTCAAACCTTTCTTCGTATTATGGGCTTTTCTATTGCAACAGCTTCAAACATCTCCCTAGCACAATGACAATATTCATTCTATGTTCAGTGGAATCTATTAACAGGGCATTGAACTCCACAGAGTTCGCACTACTGGAAGTTAAAATGTCATTTTATTCTTTTCATGTGAAGTCAGGGATGTCTGCCAGGAAACAGATCAGTTGTCTACACTCTGTTCTCAGTGTCATCTTGAGTCAGATCTAGGTCATTTAAACACACAAAAAGTCTTTAAGCGTTCCAAACTATTTGCCTTCACAGTCAGGGAGTTTTGTACGCAATAGAACATATGAACACCGGGAAGAAAATAGATTTTAAAACAGTACATCCACAAAAAATTGTGCGGTGTTGCGTTGGCCAAAGAGAGAAAACAGACTCTTATTAGTGATACTAATGAGGAGTGTCTGTTCGGAAATGTGAATTAATATGCCATTTCCAATCAAGTTAATGTTGATTATAACCCAAAAACATCTGCAGATGTTGATACCGACAGGATGATACAGCTTCAGATCTCTGCAGTGATTAGACACCACCTTCCTGGAGCTGTGTATGCAGTCCACCATACCCATTTCCACCGAAGGTGTGGCTTGGAGTAACGCCAATATAGAAGGATGGCCATGGGCTGTGCTTAAAGGTTCCCCAAAGTGGCACTAAAGGTCCTGTTGGAGGTAATACAGAGAAATAATGTCCTCTACCCTTGGGAAGTGGGGCACTGTGTAGTGGTTAAGGAAGGCACAGAAACAGCTGATATGGCATTTGTGGCAAGAGGTCACCTGGGAAGCAACGACAGGGAGCCATGGCACCAGACCACGGCTCCTGTTCCCAAAGAGATTGAGGGTCAGTGTGAAGAGGTCTCCTCACAAATGGGATGCACTGGACAGTCACGGGCAGAAGCCATACCAGTTGGAAGGAACATAGGGGGCAACATTTTTCTGGGAGGGATTGGTTGTATGCTGGTGCAGCTGTAGACTCATGAGGGCATTGCAGATGAAACATCACAAGGTGGCTTATGGGCACAACATACTTGGTACAACACCATGCCTGCCTCAGCACTGAACCTGAACTGGATTCTCCCCAGCCTGGCTTGACTGGTCATTTCTAGCAGTGGTTTGTAGAACCCAGCATCAAAGAAGACCTAATGACCGAGGTCAATGCAGTCAAGGCAGCTTGCATGGGATGAGTGCAATGTAAGCTCCAGCACCTGCTATGGGAATTTCTTGCTCAGAAGGGAGTCACAGAGCATCTCAGAGGACGAGAGGCTGCCCTCTACCAGGCTACTGGGTGGATTGAGCAGAGTCACTGAGTTGGCATTGGAAGCACAATGGAGCAGGAACCTATTATCCTCCCTTTGGATACCAACATTCCTGCTCCATCCCCCAAACCACCATTACCTTCACACCCTTGAAGCTTGTAGCCTAGACTGTTCACGTCTATGTGAGTTGGCCCTTTCCAAATGCACCACAGTCAGTCAGTCATAGTCAACAAGTTAATAAGAACCTTAAGGTGCACGCAAAATCCTCACAGGAACATCCTTTAGTTCCGTTCAGATGGTCATTGTTAGGAGACATTGTTATTTGAAATTGACTGAGCAAGTAATTTAATTATCAATCAGCCACTTAATGATTGTCTGGGTGACTGTTGCCAATGCACATCACTCCTTTACCAATATAGTACTTGCATTCATTGTGCTCTAATCAACATTTCAGCATAAGAACACACCCTGGGCACCACCAGTTTCTTTTGTTATCGACCAGTCCAGAACCCCTCAAAATGATTTAAGAAGGTAGCTTAGACCCTAACTTTTTCTTATTTTAAAGGTAGATGTGGAGTACACGTTCCAGATAAACCAGCTCATTGAGCTAACTGACCCCACATTGAAATGTAGGAAGAGTGGGTAAGTGGAGTTGCAGATGATTTAAATTGATCTGACTTCAGGGACTGAGCAGCCTCCTGGAGTTTGTATTCGTAGCCCAGGCTCTTTGTGAAATGATAAGGCGCTTTCTGGTGTTTTTATTTTGGCTTCGCTTCCTACTCTTTGCCAGATAGCCTTACATTGTCTCTTTCCTCATCTCCCCACCCCAAGCACTTGTACAGTTACCAAGTGCTGCATGCTGGAAATACCTGTGGTCTTGGTGCAGAAGGCCACATCCATAAATGGACATGAGCTGCCTCTCTCCTTTTGGCTTCATTGAGAGTGTAGTTTGCTTAACATTGCACCATTGAAATTAGGCTTTTGGATAGCCAGCGTGTTTTCTGGCTAGTTCATCCCTTTGATGCAGGCGTGTTTCTTGTTAACTCTTTGTCAGACATGTTCCAAAAGGAGATTATAATATTCCAATGACCTGCAGGGCTGTGCTAAACAAACTGTTCTGAAGTATTTAAATACCTGGTGCTTTCTTTGTGTCCTGCAAAGTTGCTAGGTGACTTTCTTGGCTGTTATTCATCCTAATCAATACCTGCTAACTTACACAACAACAACTTTGCAATTTACGCCGTTCATGTCCTGAGATACTTCACAGAGTGTGTTGTGCAAGCTCCAGTAGCATTTTGAGAAAATAACAGAGTTGCAGGTGAGGGAGGGAGGTTCATGCCTGGCGAGCCAGAAACTGGGAGACCTTGATTTCTGATTGCTGGGGTACATTGTGAAGATCTTCTCCTGAATTTTGCCAATAGCTTGGAATTGGCTCATGGGTCTTGACAGTGAGTGGTCGAGTGGTTCTGTTACAGGTGGGGCATATTATTCATGAACACATTGCAGCAGCCATTGACACGTGGTGGAAGGGTGTCCCCTGATTTATTTTATCCCTGTTCCCACCCAAACAGGCATGGGCAAAGTAACCAATCAGCAGTGGCTCATTGGATAGCGCTGCTGCCTCACAGCACCAGGGACCCGGGTTCGATTCCCACCCTCGGGTGACTATCTGTGTGGAGTTTGCACATTCTCCTCGTGTCTGCGTGGGTTTCCTCCGGGTGCTCTGGTGTCCTCCCATGGTCCAAAGATGTGCAGGCTACGTGGATTGGCCATGCTAAATTCCCCCATAGTGTTCAGGGATGTGTCGATTAGGTGGGTTATAGGGGAATGGGTTTGGGTGGGATGTTCTGAGGGTCGGTGTGGACTTGTTGGGCCAAAGGGCCTGTTTCCACACTGTAGGGATTCTATGAAATCAGATGTGATTCGACAGGTCAGGCTACTCGACTTTAAGCAGGACACAATTTATTTAAACTCTGTAGTTAAAATACAAACAAAAGAAAGAGGAATTTAGAATAACTTAACTATTAGAAAACTTAACTGAATAGATACATATTGTAGATACTAATTAACTGTTCCAATATGGTAACATCCCATAAATCCACCCCTTGGCAAAAAGGTAAATTCACACACAGATTCTTACATGCAGTTCTCCAATCCAGGAGGGAGAAAAAATATCAAGAGAAATTTCTGAAAAAGTGGCAGCTGGGAATCATTTACTGAAGCTTCCAAACCTTGGGAGCCCAAACAGCTTCTGACTGCTACAGCTAAAAAAAACAAGAAAGCCCAGTCTGTAAGAGCTGGCCAATCCCCTTCCATTGTTCCAACAGTTTTAAAAGAACCTAAAGGCCTCCTAAATTATTTACTGAAGCCATTTTCAGTAGATAGTTCTCCCCACTGCCTTTACAACCTCTCTTCAAAAAGATCCAGGACAAAATAACCTTTTTAAAATGCAAGCATCATCACATACTTTTCACAAAGAGCTTGGCTAAAATCATATAACGTTCCATAAACTTATTAATCATAAGCAGGCTGTGAATAATACAAGTCCATAAAAGCAAAGGTAAAGGTTGCATTATTTATTAATCTACATGGATATATTACGTTGCGTTAACCTATAGATGAGCATAATTTTCTGCTGCAATGTATAGGCCAGCAAAGTATTGAAAGATATGTGGTTCAGACCTTCTGTTCAGCACCAGTGCTAGGTGCATTTCCTGACCTTTATTTGCACTCTTCCCACTGGGACTTTGGATGCTAGCTGAAGCAGCAATGGATCTGTGCAGTCTTTGAAGAGGAAAATCAGTGAGCACAGGAGGAATGGATGAAGACAAGCCTTGAATTTTTTTTTACAACATGTATTCAGGAAAGTTTTTAAAGGTCTCAAGATGAATGAGCGGCTGAGTGAGTGAGAGAGTAGTGCGATGAGTAAGTGTGTGAGGGGTGGGTGAATGAGTGAGTAAGCGAGTGAGTGAGTGGCAGGTGATTGAGTGTGAGACTGAGTGAGAAAGACCAAGAGAAAGAGAGAGAGAGAGAGAGAGAGAGATTGTAGGATTGTGGTGAGTTGAGAGTATTCAGGTTGTTGGAGTCCAGTTTCTAACTGTCAATTTACCCTGGATGGACCTGCATCACTGAGAGAATTAATATCAATCTTATATGTAAAAAGCAACCTCATCAGATTAACATTGATTATTTGTACTGTGACAGTGAAGAATAATGTTAAATGCCATTGTTTACATTTGGATTTCAGGTAGAGTTAAGCTTCATCTCAATTGTCTGAAATCACACAACTGGGCTATTTTCCAATTGTGTCCACATATATGTGTCTGACTGTCTAAAGTTTGTCAATTTCCCCAACATCCCTTTGCCTCGACCAGAATCTCGTCCATTAAAACCCATTAAGCAAACTACCTGTTGGACCAAGAGGTTTTCGTCACATATTGTCATCGCTTTTCCTTTTGTTCTGTATCTGCTTCCCTCGTAACTATCATTCAGAAAACCAACAGCATATTACCATTCTGTTTCAGAAATCCAGCACTGAAGTGAAATTTACAGCATGCCAATGTCATTGCCAGGAAATTACAAGTTCTGCTGAAGATTTTGAAATTACCTTGTTAACCCCTGAGATTAAAGCATTGAAGAGGTACAATACTTACGCCACAATGCCAGAGAACTGGAACATTTCAGCAGTCAGATATGACAAATAGCTGTACAGGAATACGAAGAGAGGTTCGATCACCCGGATATTCTCCGTGAAGCGAGTAGTGAGAGCTGCAATGATTCCATAAGTAATGCCCACCAGCAAACCTCCGAATCCAACCAGAAAGAACTTAAAAATTCCCACTAAAATATCTGACACTCCAACGGAGGACATGGTACAAAAAGTCTTAAACAGTTTGTATAAAACCTGCAAACAGAAAAACAAAAAGGAATATCATGAAAGGATAGTATTTTTTCCTGACCATCCAAGGTCTATCGTTATACCTTTTCAGTGTTTTTAAGAAGGAATTAACTATTCAACCTTTGATAAAAGATTACCATCTCAAAGCATTTACTTAACACAGTGGAAGCTGTGAATTTCTGTTGACAATAATATCGACTAATTAACACTCAATGGTAAAATTCACCAACATATTCCCATTAGGGAGCTCCTATCATAGGGAGCACATGTTAAATGGAGGCAAGCTTCCAGATCTCTAGTGCTGAATTTGTGATGTATGTTCCCAGCCATCGAACTCCTGGAATAATGAATAGCTCCCTTTAATGTATGGTGAAATCAAAAAGAATCAAATTCAGATCACACAAAACTCCACTTTACAACCTCCTGGGCTCAATACTGAGTTCAACACCTTCAGGTCGGAGCCCCATTCCTTCCCTTTTGTTTTTTAGCTTTGCTTGTTACACTGTCTGTTATCCTTCTCCCTCCACCCCTCCCCCAAACCCCCTCCTCCCAGTGGGACTGTCTGTTCTTTCCAGTCTGGCAGTTAGACACACCATTGTTATGCCATTCTCACATTCTGATAACTTAATCTGAACTATCAACATCCTTTCTCCCCCCAGCACTCCAACAGCATCCCACCCCCCCCCAACTATGGCATAAATGCTGCCCCCTCCACATTTCACTTCAACTCTGACGAACAGTCATCTAGACTCAAAACATTAGCTTGCCTTCTCTCCATGAATGCTGCCTGATCTACAGCATTTTCTTTTTTGTTTTCAACACAAAACTCCAACTGTGATAATGTTGTAAGCCTTTCCTGCTGGCTGAATATGAAATCCAACAGAAAGATGCCTGTGATAAAACTGAAGTGCCAGAATGGTAAATCTGGATTGGCCAAACACACGCACGCCTGTTACATGACCACACAAGCCAATGGGACTGGAATTAAACCAACCCAGATCACAACAAGATACCATTCGCCATCGAGCTCTCTGTGATAGGATCTCCCAAATATAGTTAAACCTGTCCGAGCAAGTTAAAAGTGCTGATGATTGGAGGTGAATTGAAGTTCATACAGCAACTGGAAAATACTGGTGGAAAGCAAAACATGGACATCACTGAAGAATGTGAGAATACACCATGGAGTTTAGTCATCCATTCTGAAGCACAAGATGAATATCTCGGAACAGTTCAACAACTTTCTCTCCAGTAACAAAAAAATTGGGCCATGCACCCTGACATCGCTGACCTCAAGGGCAATCACACAGATGAAGAGTCCCGATCCGAAACGTCAACTTTCCTGCTCCTCTGATGCTGCCTGGCCTGCTGTGCTCCTCCAGCTCCACACTGTGTTATCTCTGACTCCGGCATCGGCAGTTCTTACTATCTCTCGTACTGACTTTCTTGCCTGTCAAGCTTGAACCAATGGATGAGGGGGTTGATTAGGAGCCTATAAACAACTACCTGTGACAATCAATCTCTTCCGTCCTCGATGACTTTGATAAGAAGCAGGAGTACAAATCAACTGCTCTGAAGGTCATCTTCATGATGAAGAGGGCATGGAAGATGGTGATAGTAACCACAAGCACCAACTACTTCTGCCACGCTGGGTTCAAACAGATTACAACTGTGTAAGTCGCTGAGAACAAGAAGAAACGTATGATGCAAATCAGCCCATTGACTGACTGGGCTCTTTTTGTTGACCTGTGGGAGGACGGCATGGAAATTCCAGCAGGGGCAACCATTTACACTCAGGTGGACAATGCTGGAACTGACAGAGCAGGCAATTGTTGGCTCAGTACATTCTTCACCTGAAGAGACCGAAACCCCTGAAGTGTTCATCACATAGCCGCCTGTTTCCCGACTTGAAGCCACAAAGGTCTTAAAGTTTGCTTTTGGTTTATGGACAGCAGCACAAAAACAGAGAAAAACTGTTTGACTGCATTGACATCATAGCGGACTGTCTCACATTCACCCAAAGACAGCACACTAAGCAGAAAGAGATTGCTGAGATTTTCCAGAACCAACCTCCAATATTTTTCAGAGATAGTAGGAACTGCAGATGCTGGAGAATCTGAGATAACAAGGTGTAGAGCTGGATGAACACAGCAGGT